TTTGATATTGTTTTGAGAGTAGAAGATCTCTACTATAAATAAGCCATACTTTTTGTTTATTATTTTTGAGAGTAAAAAATCTCTACTATAAATAAGCTATACCTTTTATTTATTTAGTTATTTAGTTTTCATATTTTAGTTTTTACCTTTATCTTAGTTATAGTCTTTTTTGATTAATAGCTTGCTATTTAATCAATTTAAATCTTGAATTATATCAATTACTAGTGACTTCACTCAATCAATCTTTATAATTTCTTTGATTTATTTATTTCTTTATTTTATTATTCTTTTTGAGACAATATCCATAGATATTGATATAGATCTTAGAAAACTTTGTCATTATTAAAAGTTATAGTCTAATTTCTCTTTCTTTATCCTTTAATTATTTCAGTCTCTCCCAATTCTATATCATTAAGATAAATTCAAGTGAAATTTACTTACCAATTTACTGTAACATTACTTTTTATAAAAATTAATTTCAATATATAAATAATTATTATATATTAATTTAATATAATTAATCATATATTATTATACAAATAATTATATTATTCAATTATCAATTTAAGTATTTTTTATTTTTAATTAATATTTTCTTTATATTTTTATTTATTCTTAATTATTATTATTTATATTATTATTAATTATTTATATATTATTAGATTAAGTATAATTAGTTTTTTAAAAATATATTTTTATTTATTTTATATAAATATATTACTTTTGTTCTGTATTTTAATTCTCAGATTTAAATATTATTCAAATAATAAAATTATAAATATTTATAAATTGAAATTATTTACTTTACATTTTATCTTGTTTATAATTATAAATAAATAATCTTATACAAAAACAAAAAAAAAATTAAAATAAATTTAAAATAATTTATTATACTTTTTTATAATATATATTCGATATTATATAAAAATAAGTATAATAAATTTATAATATATTTGATATTATTTAAAATATAAAAAGAATATAATTTACTTACTAAAGTAATATTAAATACTTTTTATAAAAAAGAATATTAAATTATTTTAAATTTATTATAAATATTAATATTTTTTGCTTTTTTAATTTTTTAATTTTTTTATTCTATAATACAATGACCATCAAAAGTAATGCAATGCTTAAATTTTTTACTAATTATAATTAGTAAAAAATTTAAGCATTGCATTATTTTTGATGGCCACTGTAGCTAGCAAGATATTTTATAATATAACTATTCTTTTAATTCTAATCATTCTTAAATAGTAACCAATAATATAATTTGCAATATATTTTATATTGAATCTATTTTTAATAATCTAGCTTTCTGACAATTTAATATTCTAATAATTTAACTTTCTGAAATTTAATATTTCAATAATCTAATATTTATATTATTTAGCTTTTTAATAATTTAACTTTCTAAATATTTAATTTCTTAATAATTCAACTTCAAACTTTTCAATAAATATGACTTTCTGAAAAATTAGTTCAATTTCTGATTTTTATAAAGATTAATTACTAGTATTTATTAATATTTTAATATTAAAAGTAAAATAATAAATCTTTATTTAAATATAAATAATATTAAAAAATTGAATTATTAGAAAGTTAAATTATCAGAAAGTTAAATTATTAAAAATTTGAATATCAGAATACTTTATTAGAATTTTTAATTATTAGGAATTTGAATTTTAGAAAGTTAAATTATCAGAATATTGGATTGTCAAAATGCTAGATTGTTGAGAATGTTAAAATTTTGAAAAGACAAGTATTAAAATATTATAATATCAAGATGATAAATATTGAGATACTGAATAATATTCTTTATTTTCTGTGATTTTCTTTAATTAGATATTTATTATATTTATTTTCTATATCTTTTCTAAATGATATATCTTTTATGAGTATTTTCATGTGAAAAAAATGAAATGCAAAAATTTTTGCTAATTAAATATACTTTATATGCATATACTAATTTTTCATGCTTTACATATGTTTATATCCTATTACTTCTTATAAGAATATGTTCTTGTGCATAATATTTATAGTCTAGATCATGTGAAAGTTTCTTAAACTGGTTATTTATTGTGTAAATTATTAAAAAAGGAAACTTTATCTCTGGTCCTATATGAAATTGAGATATAAAAATACATGAAAAAGATCTGTAAAAGAGAAAATATACTAACCATTGTAAAGACACGAAAATATCTGTAAAATGTATGCAATGTGTACCACTTTACCTCTTGTAAAAGCATGGAATCACTTCTGGAATACATAGAAATACACATATAACATGACAAAGATGAAATGTAAAAAAGTCTGTGCTGCATCCTATTATTTTTTATAGGGTCGTGAGAGTTATTATTAGGGCTATTGTTAAAATTTGATTGTTAAAGCATTAGAAGTCGTTTTTAGTAATGATGGCCATAGTATGCTAATTACACGTACATGTATCGTGAAAATGTTTATTCCCACATTAGGGAGAAATTAAGGAATTACGGGATTTATAGTTACTTTGGTAACAATAGATCTAATAATTGCAAAAAGTTCCTCGGCAGTTGGTCTGTTTTCTGGAATAGGATTCCAACATTTTTCAATAATAAATTTTGTACCATCCGGGAATATTATTCGGTATCGTAGATCGTATTCCATTGCAACTGACTAATATCCTGACATCGAATGTTGAATTATGTTATGTGATAGCGGTACAAAAACTTATTTGTATATTATTTATACATGCACATAACTTAGTTTAATACATGTACATGCATAGATTTTTTGCGTTTGATAAACTTAATGGGCATCATGCATGCTATCATGCGGTATCGATATGCGCATCTCTAAATTCTTATTTGGATAACATTAATGAGTAATGAATATTTTTTATCTGACTGAGAAGTCTAACTTAAAATTGATAATTAAAGCAAAATTAACGTGATGTTAAATTTTAGTTTGTCTATATATTAGACGAAGGGGCTACTATCACTGTAAACCTCTGAGTTGCTTTAGGATCATTGTTATCGTAAGATTCCAATCTAAGATAATGTTGGTCATTTTCATCTTTCTGTGTTCAGTAGAAATAATAATTAGTCAATTAATAAAAGAAGAAAGAAGATTAAATATTAAATATTTACCACTACAGTCAATGCAAAAGGTGGGACATTTTCATTTCGCTATATTCAGTAGAAATAATAATTAGTCAATTAATAAAGAAGAGGATATTCAGAAAGGAGATTAAATATTAAATATTTACCGCTTTAGTCAATGCTTGCTATGTTCAGGAGAAATAATAATTAATCAATTAATAAAGAAGAGGATATTCAGAAAGAAGATTAAATATTAAATATTTACCGCTACAGTCAATGCACCAATATACCCTACACATGAAATTACTGAAGTATTATCATCATAGTGCCAACTTGGAGCCACTTCAACATTAGGTTCCAGTACTATTTTTGACACTTACGCAAGGTAGCACAATAATGAAATAAAATTAAAATTAAAAATTAAAAAGATAAATAAATATCATAGTTATTATTGATAAAATTTAAAATACACTTTCGAATACTTACAATCTTTTACCGCTAATGCTTTTCCATTATCTTCAGAAATTATACGACCTGTCCCATCATACCTCCATAATATTGTTGCCTTTTCCTATTTATAGAATATAACATTTTAATTATGAAATTTGGACTTTTGTACTCAAAATAAAATCAGATAATTCTTTAATTTACAGTTAGTTTTGTCTTTTCCTCCACAGTTACTTCTGGAACTGAGAGAAATTTTGCTGTGAGAAAAAGGCGATTTATTGAGATATTTGAGAAAATGAAATGCTTTGCACTGTTTTCCATGTTGAATAGAATAATTTAGAAATGATATATATTAAATTGTATGAGTTACAAATTCTGTCTTAATTTATATGTTTTTCATGTATTAGGATTCTTCTACAGTCTGAAAGAGATTTAATAGTAATATATTTTAGTATTCTCATTAATTTATTATTTTTATGCATATCGATAATAACTTCATTGTCAAATGTGAAGAGACCTGATAAGACTAAACGAAGTATGCGGGCCGTTACAGAAACAAAATTTTACACGGTTAATTCAGTAATGTGATTTTTTATACATAAAGATAATAATTTCATTGTTAAATGGGACTCAATAATATCTACACGGTTAATTCTTAAAATAATATTTTTCATAATAATTACATGCAGGGTCCCAGGTTATATGTAAAAATGTATCATGTAATAATGATCGAGACTTGATACACGTAGTACATGTACATATCAAACAAAATACGCGGAAGTAACGTTCTACAGTACATTAGCGTCGTCGGATTTATTTTTCTGCTAAGAAATTTATTTAACCTTAGTAACCTTATTGGTTGTGAGAAAAATCTATTGTCAAATGAGACTTGATACACGTAGTACGTACCAAACAAAATATGCGGAAGTAACGTTTACACGGTTCTACGTTAGCGTCGGATTTATTTTTCTGATAAAAAATTTATGTAACCTTAGTAACCTTATTGGTTGTGAGAAAAATCTATTGTCAAATGAGGCTTAATACATGTATTACGTATCAAACAAAATACGCGAGCCGTCACGGAAGCAACATTTTACACGATTAATTCTTTGAAATCAAATCAGTTCATAATGTTTTCATATCGATATATGAAATAATTGTTAATAAATTTTCATGCTCCATTGCATGCAGTATTTCAAATTGGTTAAATATACGCTGGTTTTAGATAATTATTTTTAATAAGAAACAGAAATTGTTGTGATGTAAACTTTAAAAAAATTCATAGATCTCTTGGCAAAAGAAAATTTTTTACGCTTAATTAGTGTTTTTATTTGCACAAACATCATTTGATGTGTTGATATGAACCACATTTTAATCCCTTCATTGGGAGTGCAAATATAGTTTCATGTAATATATATGTACACATAAGTACAATAACAATTTGCGTAATTAACCTTAAAGGAAAATACCACCTTACTTATAGATGGTTTGTTCGTTTGAACCGGTTCAGTTCAGTTCCCATTCTACTTGAATAAAAAACTGGAATTGCTTCCAGTTCTATATATTTGAACCGAACCAAATCAAACTGAGCTGAACCAACCCATCCCAATCTAGGAAATTAAGGGCGGTTCAATTGCTATTCACAGGTTTTCTGAAACATACACGTAGTTCTTGCGATTTTAATAGACAAAACGCTAATTCCATAATGTCTACGATAAAATTATTTTGTTCTTATTATCTTTCTGGGCAAATTCTATCATTGATATATATATAATATTCTACTATACAGTAATTTAGAGAACATAGCCTTAACTTGTCGTTATTCTAAAGCATTTAATAAAAAACTAGCGTCTGAAAATAAAAAGATATTGCAAGCGTGTTAATACACTCCCCTGAAATGGGTCATGGGAAAATTTTACTAGCATCGTAATAATCAGTTTTTTTACGAATTTTTGATTTGAAATTTCTCAACAACCTACATATTAATTTATTACATTTATTATACCGGGTAGGATGCCCTTTGGCTTTAACTATAGCTTGAACATGTCTAGTCATACTTTCGACCAGATTTTGATAAATTGATTCTTCTAATTTAAACCACTCCCAACAAATTGAATAATTCAACCTTATTTTTTTAGTAAAGGAACATGCTTATGGACATGACTAGGGCTGGAACCCAAACCTCTAACCAATAGTTTCTACATTTCTACCATTTTTATTTGGGATACGACATCTTTGCGTAATCGCAAATTAAGTCCCAAACCTAAGAACAAATTAAATTGCGACACGCAAGTCTTTTGATCAATCGAAAATAATTTTTTGACGCCCTCTGATCTTAAATTATACTGGCTTTTTTATCAGTTGGTTGACGAGTTATGTTAACTAATTCTAAAATGGAATAGTGACAATCATATTCATATATTGGTGGCGCTGTCCAATCAGAATATAGATGCATGCCATTTAAGATGGTGCTCTTGGTAACGTCATTTATGTCGTAATGTGATCATTTTCCTCGTTCAGTTAAATTTTAACTGCACAAAGACAGTTGTCTCTTTTCGGAGGCGTGTAGACCTAAATGGGAGAAGGGCTGTGCATAAACTCCGTGAGATAGTTGTAATTAAAAGAATTTTATTACGTATATTCATATGATCGTTACCTGACCACTTGCTTTTAAGTTATAGTGTAATCGCCAACAGTCCATTTTTATTGCAAATCTCGATTGTTCTAGATTAGCATGCCCCTGCACAAAGATGATACATTCAATCTTGAGTGTGAATCATCGCTACACTTTCTTACAAATATCTATCCATAGCAAGAGTAAGTATATTTCAAAAACAGTGATTTATTTTATCATCCGATATATTCAAAACATTCATTTCAATAGCAATATGGAATGTGATGAGAATTCTAGTGAAAGTGAATCAACTTCTCAATCAACTGTGCCAGGAAAACGAAAAGCTGCTACGAATAAAGGTGGATGTCCTCGTACAAGCATCTGGGAAGATTTTAATAAATTATCATCAGATGGAGAAGGACATTATGGTGCCAAATGTCGATATTGTAAAAAGAGTTGGAAACAAGGAAAACCTACCACATTTAGCGGTATCAACATAGTTTTATGTCTTCTAGTTCAAATTTATTTTTTATGATTCCATTATCAATTTCTCCGTCCAGCCAAGCAATTATTCGACACTAGCAAATCTTTTAGAACGAAAACAGTTGGACCAAGTTTGGATTTGGAATCATTATTATCGATTGGTCATCTGTAAATGGTTGGTGGTCGTAATAATGATTTTAAAATGGTCCAAAATCGATATTCTTTATGTGAGATGCTGTACATGTAATTGAAATTTTCAAAGTAATCATTAATTTGGTTTGGCTAGTAGACATAAAATCAAATAGAGTTATTAAATTACAATTGAAGCTGGGAATTTTCAAGTTGAATGATGATGACTTAACAGTGTCTAATGGTGAAAAAATTAAATGAGAAATTAATTGGCAAGGTCTTTAGAATATTCAAAATTACTGAAACACAAAAACTTACGTAATTAGAAAATTGAGCCTTATATTTACACATTTCGAATAGGGCAAGTTTTATGTCTAGAACCAAATAATATTAAAAATTACACTTTTATCCTTGTCTTTTTTTTTCAAAAATTGCATTTAATAATATTTTCGGAGAACAATAATTTTGCGTGAAAACTTAATTGAACCAATTTTTTTTTGCCAAAAAAAAACTGCGAATGCTCACTAAATCGAGTTTTTAAGCAAACCAGGCTGAAGTGACTAAGAAAAATGTTTAACGTGCAATTTTGGATTTAATCTTTACTAAAACATATTTATGTAAGTGTTGTGCAAAAAAATGGCAATTGACTTTTTAATTATAAATAATTAAATGATTATTCAAATAATATAAATATATATATATATATTCTTAGAGAACAGATTTACTTTTTGATCATTTAATAAAAAATCTTAGTATATTATTTCATAATTTATATTTTATATTCAAAAATATAAAGTACACGACCACAAAAATAATTTAAATTATATTTATAGAATTTTATAAAATTTAATGATTCCATCTTTGTAACCTAATAACCAAATTTAATTTAATTATATAATAACTTATTAATTGATTTTCTTAAAAAAATTTTATAATTGATTTTCCAAGCTAATTTTTGAATACAAAATGCAAATTTATGAAATGTTTTTGTTGGCTTTTTATTATATGGTCTTAAGTAAACTTGTTCTCTAAATACTAAAGAATATATATATAAGTGCTTATATTGCTTGAATACACGTAATTATTTAATAATTATTATTTATAATCAAAAAATTAATTGCCATTTTTTCACACACCACTGTATTTTATTGATTGTATATTCGTGTAATGTCTACAAAGGCAAGTTAGCACATGCAAGAATTTCTATGCTAATACATGTGTTCTTAAGCACACACACACGCCCATATAAACAATAATAAAAACTTGTATATTGTAATGAAAGTTACACATATGTAACTATATAACGACAATTATCTCTATCATTTACGTAGTTTATACGGTGAACTCAAAGATGGGAGCAAATACTAGTCATTGTAATGAATGTTGGCGTTGTCAAGAAGATAATTATCACTGCGATGAGTGTTTAGTTCACATTATCGATGATCGTAGTAAATGCACAGAGAATAGATAAATATCAAAAACGAACCTATAAAGATGAAACGTCTAGCGAAGATAAAATATCGATCATCTAATAAAAAAATTAATAAAGAACATGAATATAACATATTTGAATGGATCCCTTTTGAAAGATTTACCAACGTTGAATATTTTACAAATGTTTTGGGACAATTTATAACGTAACCTGGTTGGATGGACCATTGGAATACCCTTGTAAGCGGGATCATGAAGAAGATAAATTTATACGAAATAGAAGTTGTGTTGGAATCATTGCACATTCAAAGCAAATTACTCAAGAGTTTATACATGAGGTAAAAAATGAACATTTTCTAATGTTGCTCTTTGTTTCTGATAAATCAAATTTTTCAAAATTGGGCTTAGATGCTATGATTACGGCAGCTTGATAAAATATTATGGAATGACTATAAACACAGCTACAAACGAATACTCAATAGTAATGACTTACATGTATGATGATGTTCTTTGCGTCTAATTCAAAATTGTGATAAACGTAAAAAATGTCAAAATGATGAGTACTGTGATGACTGTTTCAAATATCACAAACGAATTTATAAAGATGAATTGTCTAGTGGAGATAAATGTTTCGACAATCAGATAAAAGAATGTAACAAAATTAAATATAGAAACAAAAATATATTCCTTTGAAAGATTCACCAACGTTAAATATCTTGCAAAAGGAGGTTTTGGGACAATTTATAAAGCAACCTGGTTGAATGGACCAATAGATAATTATCCCAAGTGGGATCATGAAGAAAATAAATTTAAACGTCAGGGTGAAAAACTGAAAATTATGTTGAGAACATTACACAATTCAAAGAAAATTACTCCAGTGTTTATACACGAGTTAAAGAAGAATACGCCAGAGTTTATACACGAGTCAAAGAAGAACATTCTCTAAAGTGAAAGTTATCTTTGTTTTCTAATACAATACAAATCTTCATAATAGAATAAGATTGCTCTTAAATGCGCTGTTTTTATTAATTATTATAGAATAGCTAACAAACGAATATTCGATAATGGAATATGCAAAAGGTGGTGATCATAAAAAACTGACTTGGAATCAAAAATTAGATTATTTACATTATATTATCGATAATATGGCAAAAATTCATAGAGAAAATTTCGTACATCGTGACTTTCATTCTGGAACTATACTAATGTTGAGTTGTCCTCAAATTGCTGATTTTGGACTTAGCATTCCAACAAATATAAAAAAATCTAAGCAAAAAATTTATGGAGTACTTCCTTATATGAGTCCCAGAGGTGCTAAATGGAAAGCCATACACAAGCGCTGCAGATGTTTATAGCTTTGGAATGGTTGTATGTGAAATTACAACTGGTGAGCGACCATTTGGTGAACGGAGTCATGATATACATCTAATAGACATTTATAAAGGAGGACACTATATTATATTCCCGGATGGTGCAAATTTATTACAGAAAATTGTTGGGAGCCTATTCCAGAAAACAGAACAACCGCTAAGAACTTTATGACTTTATCCGCTCTATCCAGATTACCATTGGGAATACTTTGCATTTTCAGTACTACGGCTCTTTAGATAATCCTAAAACAGAAGAAGAAATTAAGAGTCTATTAAGCAGTGGTTTGTGTTTACGTAATAGCGAACAAATGCAATTACAATTTATTTCATATATCTCTTTTATACATACACCCAGTTTATATATATAAATAAAATAAAATAATAGTCATCAATGGTATCATTCATTTGTTGTGTAATGATATCGATATGAAAAACAAAATGGCGAAATTAACCGCACATTATTTTATGTAATAACACAAATGCATTTAAATGTATATGTTGTCACAAATAGAAATACATGCACCAAGAAGTTTATTTTCGTTATGCTATTCGTTATGTAAGGACTAAGAGTGAACTAAGAAAATGGATATAAGAGTGTAAGAGTTTATGTAATAAACTCTTAAAAATTTAATTCTGACCTAATATATTCTTTTAATGCTTCATATGTATGTCGTTTCTTAGCACAGAAACGATAACGATAACGATCATGGAATCAAATATTCATTGTAATAAATGTTACTATTATCAAAAATTCATTAGACCTAGCTTGCTGGGAATGCTATTCTTAAGGATTATAATTTCGCACACATGTGTAGGTATGACAATTGTCTTTAGTGAAACAACCTGCAAATTATTCATGAAGACTTATTCATCGGAATTTATTATGCACATTTAAAAAATTTTTTGACAATTGCTTTTATTTTCACACATGTAATATACTCATCAATAATAAAGCAAAATTGCAGCATTATTCTGATGACGATTCGCAAAGTACCATATCTAGCGCTTTTAGAGAGATGGGAACTTTCGTCTAAATAAAAGTTCAGATATTTCAGTCTTGGTATATTATCTTAGTGGTGTGGCCATCTCCAAGCAATTAGCTTCAGCAGAGTTTATGAAACACCGGATAAATATCTAGAGTATGTTGGGATAGCGAATTGACCGATCGTCCAGATATTTATGAAGTTCGTCTAAAAGAAATCAAATATTGTCTACTACCGTTTTCTCTTCAGAGGAAATATTTTTAGTTATAGTCATTTTCTAATGAAAGCAGCAAATCCTGAAGATGTGTGCAATAATGAGACCCTATAAAATTATCAATCAACGAATTCTTTTTTAGAGGGTGCTCAATACTGAAGAACTCGGTAATAGGTCCTAACTTAAAGGCATATTATATTATAATCAGAATGATTTTAGGTAATATCTCTTCTCTCAATATAAATCTCTTTTGAACTTTCTTTATCAAGCAGGATGTATCGTCGAGGAAAACACAGATATAAATGATGCATTATCTTCTTGAATTCATAATTTGAATTGGAATAAAGTCGGGAAAGGTGAAAGAAATAGTTTCAAATCAACCTGGTTTGACGGCATTATATAGAGGATGGGATCATGAAGAAAATAAATTTAAACGTGAAGTTTTGTTGAAGTCATCACACAATTCAAAGCAAATTACTCTGGATCTATACACGAGTAAAAAAAATACGGAAATAGATTAGGGCGGGGCAAAATAATCTTCTGTTATCAAATTGGGTTGAATACCTTATACCAGAAATCTGGTCAGACCGTTGAATCATTACATGAGTCAAAACAAATTCCATTAGAGTGTATAAAAAGGTACGTGTAAAATGAACCATTGTAAGCACAAATAAAAAGAGAAATTTCCTTTAAGAAATATCTATAATTTATTAGAAAGTAAAAAAAATAAAAAGAGAAAAAACCTCAAAAGTTATGCTTCAAACTATTATTGTAGTTACTTCTATTAGAACCTTGATCACCACCATACGGACAATTCCTTGCAAAATGATAAAGAGATCTACAATATTCACATGCAAAATTCGCGGTAGTCTTGTAGATTGATTCGATTCCATTCGTGATTATCCAATTCTCCCAGTCATTTTGATACTTTCGGTATAATTTCATTGCAGTTCTTGCGTCTTCGACAGAGTCGTGGTCGTTAATTTGTATTGTTATGCCGAGAAGTTCTTGTGCTAGTTGTTTTAGAGAGGGTGTGCCGCTGTTATGCGAGATCAATGTTCTGAAGACTTTGAATAACGAGGTATCACGCGTTAGGCCGCGTGGATGTCTTATTCTTAGTATCTGTCGTGTAAACGTAAATTTAATTTAAGGATGATATAACACATGCGTACGTACGTATCGGTATAATATAAAAAAATCGTTGCATACTTTAAAATCGAAATATAGGGAATGACCAATTACAATGTTGTCGTCAATTATATCAATTACTCGTTGTCGTACCCAACTAAAAGATTTAGCTAAATTAAAAAAATAGTTAAATTTTTTAACTTGAAACAAAAATCTTTTATTTGAATCTCTCGAAATATAGCTACCATTTTCTAGAGAATCCTCAGTGATTCCACTAAACTTTGTACGATAATCAGTCACCGGTTGATTAGGTCTAACGAATTCATCAAATACAGTATCGCCATTGAAATTAACCAAGCTCACACGAGCTAACGATGATTGTGCACCACCTGGACCGATTCCGACCATTTCACAGTCAATTGCATAAATTTTGACTCCGCGCTTTCTTGAGTATTTATTGATAATTTGAATTTAGTAAACTTTAAGAAAATTTCTGGAGAAATTCATTAATCTCTTTTGATTACATTTCTCTGTTTCTTGATATGGCATTGTTGGCATTTGATGCTTTAGTTTTGCTTTTGTTCTTTCTTCCGGCGAAATTTTTTTGACCCTCCTAATTGTAAAGAAAATTTTAAGATTTTCAACTAACATACGCAACACTTGATAAAAAAGAGTTACCTTAGGTTTAAAAAATAACGAATAAAACTGTTCGTTACGCTCATAATTTGCCATCGGAATTTTTTCTGTTCCCTATACAAATAATAAAATAAAAGCATCACCTAAGTTTAAATATCATCCTGATCCGACCGCTAAAAATTCCTTTTATGTATTTGAATTTGATATTTGATTTTGATGTATCATTCATTCATTTATACATGTATTTATTCTTTTATTCCTGAAGAAAGCAATTATTTGGTATTTTTTCAATGAAAATTACTTACTCCGTATTACATTTAATCAGCAGTTAATAAACGCACGCACCACACCACCACTTTCATAATGAACATTTTACATGTAACATAATGGATATTATTGTTGTTACACCATACAAATGATTGATCTGCGCCTCGGGAATCTTATCCAAAATTTTAAATGGTAAAGGGTTGGAAGATGGCGATAGCTTTTTATGCAGTTATTCTATATAACGATATCTGCGTTCATGCCATATAAATTAACATATCAACGACCTTAAATCCTTTATCTCCGTTATACATGTATATGTAATATTGACTTTCATTATAGATAAAATAGATACACTTAATTTAGCAAATTTTAATACCATATTTTCGCGAAATAACGCCCATCTGCGCATAATTTCGAGTATGCGCAGGTGCGTTATTTCGATTTTCTGCTTTAAAAATTTTCGTAATCTAGCCTTATTCTATAATTAGAGACGATTCATTATTAAAAATTAATAAACATGACATTTTTAAAATTATTCTGGGCTAATTACTATGACGTAGGGGAAGATTTTAGTTAGAATAAATTTTTAAAATCAAATGTTTATCAAATTTTTAAAAAAATTGGAGTAATATCGTTACACATTCGATATTAATTTATTACTGCGGGACGCCATGGGCGTTATTTTGAACCATGTATGCTATTTTGAAATGGTACAATTTTCAGAAATAACGCCCATGAGCGTTAATACGGTAAGAATATGAATCGTCAAATATAAATGTTTCGATCAATAGTTTTAAAATATGAATGATTTATTTGTTTTTGTATTAATAAGATCATTGGAATGCGATTGAAAATATCTTATCAAAAAAATAATCTGGATCTTGATTATCCTGTATAATCTATTCCGCTTATCTAAATTAGTAGAATCCATTAAATTGAATATCCAATAAGCTATCTGATGAATCCCCTTCGTTCGTAGCCTCTGCTCAACGAGACTTGCTATTTAACGTTAACAATTTCAGAACGCCTGTTTGTCCTAAAGAGCAAATAAATCACACAAATATAGTAAAATAAAGAGAATTAAGCAAAAAATTTTTTATCTATTTGTCAAAGAGTAATATATTTATAAATGTCATTTAATATACACATTTGTAAAAAACCATAGCTTGGACTAATATGAGATAAAACAATCATATCAGATATAATATAAATTTAATATTAAATTATCTCATTCGTATTAGCATCACCAAAGAAAAATGAGTTAAATGAAATAGTAATTTTTGCCTTCTTTTGAAACATATAAACTGACATTTGTAGAGGCTAAATATTCGATAAAACATTTAATTAAAATAGCAGAGTCGACTGGTGTGTGGATCATTTTCGTTTATATTCGTAGAGATTCTATCTTTAATTTCATCAATGCTCTAAGAGCTATAACACTGAAATACAAAAAATTTGCTTTCAATTATTTTCTCGCAGAAAGAGCTTTGTAAGTTGCAAACTTCCTACGGAACTGATCTGTTTTCTGGGATCTTTTCAAATTTGCGCCATCCTGAAACATTATATGATAGCATAAGTCGCACTCCGATACGAGATCTATATCATGACTCTGCTTAACGAATGGTCGTCGTTCACATTTAAGTATTGTAACATATTGGAATACAAAGATAAATATAAATTATATTAGATGAAGTGTTGAAAATCATTACACAATTCAAACAAATGGATTTATAGACGAGGAAAATACAATCAGATTTTTTAACAATAGAGCGCAGGCTGCAATTATATCATAGAATACGTGATGCCGAAAAGGATGGGCAATCCCGTGACTGTCACTCGAATTTTGCTTGGTCAGAGATTAAATATTAACAGTCCTGTGATTCTGAACATCACATGACAGCATGAAAAAAAACAAATTGTTGAAAGTGTGTCAGGTTTGATATTACTAAATTTGCAAGTATCGAATTGTAATTTATTTCATCTGGAGTTGTAGTTCTTAGCAATGTTATGTCAACTGTTAGATGTTAGATAGAGTTACCTGCAGTATTCGACCTCCAATTTAATTCTTGTAAGAATGGACAGGGAGGTGATGATCAAGTCATGTTTCATGGCTTTCTACAGGTCGATTATTCACTATCTTTCTTCTCACTTGAATTTCAGTTATCAGTTCTATAACTACAAGTGGTTTAAGATATTCCTTTTGTTCATGAAATCTCTTGAGCTTGGTATCTGTTTCCTTGTTGAACAAATAATTCAAAGTGGTGAATATTATAAATACTTAAGCAATATAGTTCTGAATCCTACACTCAATATTTCGTAGCTATTTCCTGGTAGATTTCTTATAATTCTAAGAAGAGAAGCAGAAGACTGGCTCATATAAGTATCTTTTTGAGAATTATACAGGATTTTAATTTGCCTACTTTCTAGTTTAAGTTTTTTCAAATGATACTTTATCTTAGTTTTTATTTGTTTATAAAAAAATATTACTGTCAAATCTCTCTATAATTACTGCACTTGGAAAAGCAAATTTGGATAATTATAAAGAGATTTTTTAATTAATAACTGAAAACTCAAAAAGGATAATTATAAAAAAATTGAGAGATATGACTGTAAAGAAATATAATTGTACAAGATCTTTAATTATTGCAATTTGTAATTTATATTACAATATATATTGCTATATATTTTGTTACAACTAAAAGATCTATATAATAATATAAAAAATTTTATTTTCTATTTATAAATTCTAATTATTTTTATATTAAAATATATAATATATAATCTTTATTATATTAAATATACACTTTAAGTTTAATATGAAAAACAATTATAATTTTACAAAATGAGATAATCTAATATGAAATTCTAAATATTTACAAGTTCAAAATATTATTTTAAATGAATATTATCCTGAGAAATCAAAATTTTAAATGAATATTATAACAAATAAATAAATTATTAAAGTCTTTTTCAGTATATTCTGGTGTTTTGTGAAAAATTTTATGTATATTAAAATCTTCTTGTTGAGTAAATACATGAATTAATTGATATTTTAAACTATATATAATATTATATCAAGAGAGTAAATCTAAATATTCTTTTTTAGTTTGTATTAAATTTATTTATAACTTCATTTTTTCTTTATCTTCTAAGTAATATCTAATATTTTCTTTAGTATTGTAAGATTATTTTGTTAATGTTTGTAAACAAGATAAAATGCAATATAAATAAGTTTTAATTTTATAACTTATGATTGTTTTTATTGTTTAAAAGTATTCAGATCTTCTTAAAAATGTAATACAAAGCTAATCTGTTATACAGATAGCGCAAAATAAAGATCTAAACTAAAAGGAATCTAAAGGAAGATAACCCAATCAAAATTATTACATACCCCCCTACTTAAAGTACAATATCCTCATTGTATTCAAGAGCATGATTTTTCAAAGGCATTAACCTTTTTCATGACATTTTTCAAGTTGTCAAAAGGTTCTTATGTTGCATCATAGAGAGGATAACCTAGTCATTTGACAAGGTATTGGGGTTTGCGATAATGAATTCTTTTGTTAAGAATATTCTCAACTTCATATTCTTTTTCATTATCAGAGGTAATGATTGCTGGTGATGGTTGATATCTGTTGTATTTATCATCAGAGTTATATTTTTTTAGCAATGATATATGAAATATCAGATATAATTTCATGTTTTGTGATAGTTGTAATTTGTAAGTGACAAAAGATATTTTGGTAATGACTTCAAAGGGGCCTATAAACTTTGGTATAAGTTTCTTGGTTGTCCTTTATTTATCAATTGGAAATTCTAGATTACAAGTAGAAAGAAGAACATTATCTCCAAGATTGAATTCTTCAAATCTTCTGTATTGATTTGCGTATTTTGACTGTCTTTCTTGAGCTTCTAATAATAAATCTTTGACAGTCTTTATCATGGTATTCCAATTCTTCATGAAATCTTAAGAAGCTGCAACATTATTTTATTGTAATAAGATATTGATTAGTATACGAAATGTCTGTTCACAATCTAATTCAAAAGATGTGTGGCCTGTTGAAGCATTTTTACTATTATTGTAAGTGAATTCTACTACAATTAAGTTTTCATCCCATTTATTTTGCTGATAGGTTGTGTATATTCTCAACATCTCTTTCAAGATTCTATTTAGTCTTTCTGTTTGGCTATCTATTTGTGGGTGAAAGACTGTAAATATAGTAAGTTTAGTATCTAGTTGTTCAAAAAGAGACTTCCAAAAGCAACTTGTAAATTTTACATCTCTATCTGATATTATAATTGCGGGTAAGTCATGCAATTTAAAGATATTTTCAAAGAATATCTTAGCAATATCAGATGTTGTTGCTGTTATTGTAGTTGGTATGAAGTGTGCTCTTTTTGATAGTTTGTCTACAAAGACTACTATAGCATCATATCCAGACTTGGTGGTTGAGAGTTGTATTATAAAATCTATGATGATGTATTCCTATCTATGTTTTGGAATGGCTAAAGGTTGTAATAATCCTGAGGGTTATTAATTACTATTTTTATTGCGTTAATAAGATTCACAACTGATGATATATTTGTGAATACTCTTGTTCATCTTTGGCCAATAGAATTGTTGAGATACTGCTACATATATTTTGTCAATTCCAATATGTCCAGCTATTGGTGCATCATGAAATTCAAATAAGATTTTTGTCTTCAAATTTTTATCATCTGGTATGGCTAAGCGACTGGTATTCTTTAGATAAAGTAATTCATCTTTCAATTTAAAGTTCTTTACTTTGGTTTATTACTTTGGGTTGATGTTGTTAAAGTTCTTCAAGACTTCATAAATCTCTGCAAAATATTTATCTTCTTGATACTTCTTTATCAAGACTTCTTTATTAACAAGGTTAGTGATAATAATTAAAATATTTGCTAGATGTGATTGGCGTGAAAGTGCATCTGCTACTACATTATCTTTACCAGATTTGTATTTGACTTCAAAGTTATTGGCCTGTAAAGTTTCTAATTAGCGAGCCTGTCTCTTGGAAAGGTTATGTTATGTTTTGATGTATTCCAAGGAGGTATGATCAGTAATAATTATAAACTTTTATCCTTCTAAATATGACTTCCAGAGTCTGATTATTGAACTATTACAAGTAATTCTTTCTCATGAACTGGATAATTTTGTTTAGCTGGTGAAAGTTTTCTTGATTTAAAAGCTATTGGTTGGTCACCCTTGTCTTGGTTTTGGCTTAACACAACTCCTATGGTGAAATCTGAAGTATCTGTGGTGACTGTAAATGATAGTTTTGGGTCAGATAACAATAAGACTGATACTGAGGTGAGATATTATTTTAATTATTCAAAAGCTTGTTGCGCTGTTGTAGACTATTCATACTCTTGATCTTTGTATAGGAGTACTGTGAGTGATGAGGTAGTTGCTGAAAAACCTTTCACAAATTTTCTGTAATAACTTGCAAGACCTAGAAATGAGCAAAGTTCTGATATATTAGTTGGTGCTGGCCAATCTCTAATAACGGCAATTTTTCTTTAATCAATAGAAATACCATCTGCTGAAATGAAGTGTCCTAGATATTCTACATACTGTTATATAATATTACACTTTTTCCACTTGGCATATAATTTGTATTTGTGAAGTATTTCTAATACTATCTGAAGATATTGAATATATTCTTTCTTTGTTTTACTGTATATCAAGATATCATCTAAGTAAATAATCATAAATTTGTCAAGGTAATTATGAAAGATATTATTCATGAGTATCATGAAGGTGGCTGGTGCATTGGTAAGACCAAAGAGTAGGACTAAGAACTCATAGTGTCCATAACAAGTTCTAAATGCTGTCTTATAAATATCTTCTTCTGCAATGTGAATTTGATGATATTCTGAATATAAATCTAGCTTTAAAAAGTATTTTGAACCTATTAGTCTATCTATCAACTCATCAACTCTTGGTAAGGGGTAGCAATTCTTGATAATAATCTTGTTTAAAGTTCTGTAGTCAACACATAATCTTAATGTACCTTCTTTCTTATGTACAAAAAGAACTGGTACTCCAAAAGGTGAAACACTTGAATGAATGAAATCTTTCTGAATAAGATCAGCTAATTATTTCTTGAGCTCATCCATTTCTGTAAAAGAAAGTCTATAGGTAGGTCTGAATGATGATTCAGATCCTGGAATAAGGTCAATTTTATGATCAGTCACTCTCTTGGGTGGTAATTGATTTGGTAAGATTTCAGAAAATACATCTTGGAATCTTCTTTTAATATCTAATACTTCTGATGAAAGTGATTTCTCTTTTGCTTCTTCTTGGTTTTCAACATTGTTGCGATGTATGGTGAAGAGCTCTGCATTAGCTAGTAGATTTGCAATTTGTTGTCTTGATATGTATATTGAATTGCAGCTGGAGCCTGATTTAACTTCATTGTCAGCTTGTATTTTTATTATCTTTAATCCATAGGTAAAGATTATGATATTATTTCTCTAGTCTATGATGAGATTGACGTGAAATAATCAAGATTTACCTAGGATAAGGTCATATCTTTGTAATTTTAATACTTGTGCATCCATCTTGTGCATTCTATAAGTATCTAACTTAAGCTTATCAATCTTTGCCATGATGGTGGCAGTAATCTTCTTGCCATCTGCGAGTTCAACTGTTACTGGTATAGTCTTTTATAACTTAACTTTATTCTTTTATACAAACTTTTCATCAACAAAGTTTCTAGATGCGCTACTGTTAAGTAATATTCATGCTGGTTTGCCATTAACTTGGCCATTAAATTTCAACAATCTTTCTCTGTTATCTTCAAGATGAGCGAATTCAACTCTCTTATAAGAAGATTCTTTCTATTTGTCTTTAATATTTGCAATTTTTGCCTTTGGTTTAGAATAATAATTTTTGGCGAAGTGGTCTGGTTTGTTACAGTTATAACATGTACCTTTTGATTTATTATTCTTCTGATTATTATTATTTTTTCTATTATTATAATGACTTTCTGCCTAATCTAACTCCATAGGTATATGATTATTATTCTGATGATTTCTGTGCTGATTTTGAGAGTGATAACTATTGTTGTTTCTGCTTGATAGGCCTAGAGATCTGTCTTGGCCATACATTACTGTATCATAGCAAATAGCTAATTTCCAAGTATCTTCTAAGATTTCTGATGCCTGATAACTTATTTTCATCTTTGTAACTGGTTTTAGATCTTCTATAAAGTATATGATCTGGTCTAAAGCGCTCATGTCTATAATTTGTCTAACTATATTTCTGAATTTTGTATCATAATCTAGTACAGATCCAGTTTGGCAAAGGAGGTGAAGTTGTCTGCAAAAATGTTATTGATAATGTGATAGTTAAAATACT